CCCCGACCTACCAGGACCTCAGGCCTTCGGCCAACCCCATCGCGGTACCGACCACCGACCAACATCTTGAAATACTCTGGGGAAACAAACCCTGGACTATGGCTCGAGGATTACTGGCTTGCTTGCTAAGCCAGCTGGAGCGGATAGTGATAGTTTCATTATCCACAACCTCCCATTGTTCCTGGCCGATTCGGCGCGAACACGGTTGGAGCACCTTCCGCCCAACCGAATTCAAAGTTGGGCGGACCTAAAGGAGATTTTCGTGGGAAACTTCTAGGGCACCTACAGGCGCCCTAGGAACCCATGGGATCTCAAAAACTGCCAACAGAAGTCTAGGGAAACTCTTCATGAGTACATCTAGTGCTTCTCCCGGCAGTGCAATGAGCTGCCTGACGTCGCCGAGCCGATGTTATAGGAGCCTTCCTATCCGGGACCACCTGCGAGTCCTTGGTTCACAAGCTAGGACACAAGGGCCCATGAACCACCAAGGAGCTCCTCGACATCACCACCAGCCATGCCTCGGGCGAGGAGGCGATCGGAGCGATTTTCGATCGTCCCAAGGGAAAGTAGAAGCGGGACGAGAACACCGGCGAAGGCGCCTCCAACCGCCCCAACAAGAAGAAGAACAAGCAGCGCCTTGGTCCGCTACGAGAAGCCAGAATGAACTGGTGACAGGTTGCCGACCCCGGGCTTGGGGCTGACCAACCCACAACACCCCTTGACCTCGAGGTCATGGAGCTTGACATAGACCCAGTGACAGAGCCTGACCCTCTTGATGACTGGAGGACGCCTTACCTCGATTACCTCCTTCGTGAGGTGCTACCGACGAACAAAATGGAGGCTCGGTGGCTCACGCGCACGCCAAGTCCTTTGTTGTTATTGAGGGGGAGCTATACAAGCGAAGCCACACCGAGATCCTACAGCGCTGCATCCCCATCGAACAAGAGAAGCAGTTGCTGAGAAATATCCACGGTGGGGTCTATGGGCACCATGTCGCACCTAGGACCCTGGTCGGAAATGCGTCCTGACAGGGCTTCTACTGGCCGATTACAGTAGCCAACGCTAAATAGATTGTGCGCACCTGTGAAGGGTGTCAATACTACGCTCGGCAGACCCACCTACTGGCCCAAGCACTCCAAACGATCCCCGTTATGTGGCCATTCGTGGTCTGGGGGGCCCGATATGGTCGGACCTATCAAGAGAGCACCCGAGGGCTATACGCACTTGCTTATCGCCATAGACAAGTTTACAAAGTGGATAGAGGCTCGACCGATCTCCGTGATCAAGTCCGAGCAATCCGTGCTATTCTTCCTTGATATTGTCCATCACTTTAGGGTCCCGATCTCCATTAGCACAGAAAATGGCATGCAGTTCACCGGGAAAAAGTTCCTCTGATTCTGTGATGAATACCACATCCGCATCGATTGGGCCGCCGTGGTGCACCCCCTCACAAATGGGTAGGTCAAGCGTGCGAATGGCATGGTCCTACAAGGCCTCAAGCCTAGGATCTTCAACTGGTTAAATAAGTTTGGCGGACGATGGGTCATGGAGCTCCCCGTGGTGCTCTAGAGCCTGAGGACGACCCCTAGTCGGGCCACCGGCTACACACCCTTATTCATGGCCTATGGTTCTGAGGCTATCCTCCCGACTGACCTCGACTACGGAGTGCCGAGGGTTAGGGCGTACAACGAGCAGGGAGCCGAGGCATCCCTCGAGGACGCCATGGATCGGCTTGATGAAGCGCGCGACGTTGCCCTCCTCCACTTGACCAAGTACCAGCAAGCGTTGCGCCGGTACCACAGCCATCGGGTGTAGGGTCAGGCCTTCAGCGTCGGGGGCCTAGTGCTCTGCCTCGTCCAGAGCAACAAGAACCACCACAAGCTCTCTTCGCCATGGGAGGGACCGTATGTCATCACAGAAGTGCTCTGACCCAGCACCTACAAGCTCAAGACCATCAATGGCAAGGTCTTCGTCAACACATGGAACACCAAACAGCTATGTCGTTTTTACCCTTAGCATATGCATGTACCCATGAAAACTAAGAATGGTGTTTCTGAAATACAAAAATGCTTTCTTTATCGCTATCTCGTCTTCGATCCTTAGTGACACCCGACCCCTGCAACGACATGGGGCCGGGCCTCACTCGGAGGCTGATAAGAGCATACCTATTCCGAAACAATTGTTGTGCCCGACTCCTTCTCACGTTAAGATCTAAAAGCGAGAGCTGTGGAAACGAACACTGAGTGAAGTTGGTCGGACTACAAGGAACCTACGCCCCAGCGGTTACGGCGTTCTTGCTCACCAGCGTGATCAGGGTTCTTTCGCCCATGCCTTAAGCTTTGTAGCCTTAACAACAGAAAAGGGGTCGGAATGCAGTAACCTTTTTATAACACAAAAAGAAAAAAGTACCCAAAAGTTTGTTTGACCGAAACAAAAGAACTAAAACTTGTTCATTTATTACAAGATCACCACTTCGTTTATCTAACTAACTAATTTTTCGGGGGATGATCTCATCCTCTATCTTGGCAGATAAGTCATGTGTCAGAGGGGCCACCTCCTTCTCGATGTCCTTTAGCTCGGCGTCGGAGTAGCCAGGCGTGAAGCCTTGGCTCATCGTCGCTAGATCGATGTTCTCATAGTGAGAGCGAGCGATCGCGAATGACCGATTAACACCAAAGCAGAGCATGCCCCTCATAATGTCGTGCGCACGCTACCTCTGGCCGCTCCCTCAAAGGACGCGCCGGATGATGGTTCACTCGATAGATGGGTCGAGAACTGTCGTAGGTAAGAAAGGGATACAGGGCTGAAAACACTCTGACGGCCCATTCAGGCCTAGAAGTTCAAAGGTTAGCCAACCGACGGGTTCACAACCTCTCCGGGGCGCCTTCAGAGTGAGGGGTGGAAAGGGATGTGCCTGCTAGCGGCCAGTACCCGAACGCACGAGCATCGTAGGAATCCCAGCCCATGTTCGAGTCTTGGTCGGTTCACAGTCCATGGTTTTTCCTCGAAGAAAAGCAGCGAGCCCTTAGGACCAGTCAAACGGACCCAAGAACTATGTGGATTGGCCGCTAAGAATCCAGAGTCGGTCACCAGCTGACCCATGCCGGACCCCTGTGAACGGGAAGCTAGGGCCCCACTCGGACTAGCCCGTTAACAGCTCACCGAGCACCATGATTCATCCATCGAGGAAAACATGGCATGGCTCAACCCATCCGTTTTATAAAAAAACGCTTGCGGGAGGACGATCACAAGACAGCTGACCCCTCGACCGGACCCCTGCTACGCGCAGGACTCGAGGGAAGTTGGACTCGTAAGGAGACCGAATACAGCGGTCGCATGACGATGGCGGATCGATCGGATCCTAGGGAGGGATCGAAATCAAGAGAAATCTTTTCCGGCCCCCGAATCCCGCAGCTACATGTTCCCAAGGAGTCCGATCGCGACAGAAGGGAATCGCAACCCTACCAAGACATCCCGCGGGATATAATGGGAGACCGAGGCCCTCAGAGTCCTCCCGCCTGAAAAAAGCCTTCAAAGGAGTATTCTACTCCTCCGCAGGCTCGGGGGCTACTGTCAGGTATCGATATTAGGGGTACCCGGAGGAAGAAAGTTAACAGCCATGAACATTAATTCGTCCGGATGGTCCAAGACGTATTTAAGGTCTCGCCCGACCCCGAGGGCGCGGGCTCCGTCTCGCCAGAACCCTCGGGCGTGGGCTCCGTCTCTCTCCGATGGGGATCCATACCGTCTCCAACCACTACGGGTCTAAGAGTACGACCCAGGGTCACATTTCTGACACCGGGAGGGAAGCGGACGCGTCTCAACGTGACCCGTGGCCACGATGGACCATACCTGGGGCCCACGTTGCCATGAAAGGTTAGGCGTGCCGACGCCAGGTCTTTAATAATCCCGTCATTGCCTTCGACAGAGTACATGTTGACCACGCCGTCTGCGGACGGAGGAGGAGCGCCACGACCGTCGGGCCGACGACGATCACGTATATAGCGCCAATGGCGCCGACAGGTACGCGGACGTGGAGCTGTCCTCGTCATCATCTACAGGACCGGCGGGACCCACATAAAGAGATGAAGGACGCCGCGACCCTGGAGACATTCTTCTCTCTCGCTTTTCTCCTTTTCGCCATCTTTCTCTCTCTGTAACCTACGCCTTCCCCTTTGGGAAGCAGGACGCCCCATGGAAGGGGAGGGGCACGAGCACACGGCTGAACAAGCTCAACAAGACTCAACTCCGTTCGATTTTTTCACTAGAGACTTGGGACCTTCTCCCTCTCTCGTCATTTATAACCCCTACTACAAACAAGTGACGGTAACATGAGCTACAACAGACTGTACGTAGGGACATTCTTCCGTCCGAACCAGTATAAATCATTGTATCCTCCGAGCACACTATCCGGATAAGACGCGCAGATAAAAAAAAATTTAGCCGGTTGTCCGACGTACAGTATTTACAGAAGAATGCATTAAAAGTTGCTACCGGCAAAGATGCCCTGCGTGATGCCGTGAGCAGGGTAAGCTCCTCTCTCTCTCTCTCCCTCTCGCCTCCACAAACCCATCCAAAACCAGAGCTGTAGTTTAGCTTAGGTGATCCAAGCACCCCACAAAATTATGGCTTGCCCACTTATATTTTATTTTTGTTGATACATACAGTTGCTGATTAACTTGCTCTTTCTTTGCACTGTTGTAAAAACGGCCAATCGTCTCTAGTGTATTGAGGCTGAGAGGAGACTCATCAGGATCTGCAATAGCTTTCTATCTTATAAAGAACTTTGCCTGACCCAAGGTATCAAGGGCCGAGCAAGGGATCTGGTTCAATCAGATGGTGAATATCCTCCTGCCGCTGCAACCTTACTGGTACGCCTGTTACAAACTGTACCAAGATGTGCCATATCTAATGCTGTTAATAATTGTTTGATGCTAACCATTCTTTCTCCACCAATTTCAAATGATGGTTCCAAGGCTATCACGACAGAAGCCGAGTTGATGTGCGAGATGAAGATTCAAGGTTATAGTACCTCTGCAGTGCGTGCTTTAGTCCATCAGATTCGGCAGGCTGCCTTTAATCTTATTCTCTATGGAGGTTCTGAATCTGCAGCTGTGACTGCTGCCATGGTGGTACGTGTCTGTTCCTAATAAGCCGATACTTGCTAAATTTGTGGTATTATTCTTTTTATGCTGACACACTTTTAACCAATTGCAAAAAAATGATGTACTGAAGGGTCTTGTAGAAGAGTCTAAGCTCAGTCTTGACGCGCTACGTGAAGATAGACGTTCTGCATTCATGATTTACTACGATACTGTTAAGATGCGGCAAGGTATTGCAAAAGTTTTGACCAAACTTGATGAAGAAGTTGCTTGCAAAACTACTGGTAATGCTGGCACTCTCATTAGTGCAACGAAGAAGCTGATAGGGTATGGTGTTATTCAATTATCTTTTTATGAATTTAGTGGTATGTTGCTATTCTATTCTATTTGATAATAGGTCTAGCACTGAACTGAATAAACAATGTGAAAGGGACGGTGAGAACGGGAACAAGAAGACGAGCAAGAGTTTGCACAATGTCGCTGAGGAGAGAGGACATGCACTAAAGAACAATGAAACTGGGACCAAGGCTGTGGCATGTAAGAACTCTTATATCATATCACTACTCGTCTGATTCGATCTTCGACGTAACCTTGTTGTAGAAATCCTCGCTGACATCCATTTGTTTGTTGAAGCTTTGCCTGACAATTGCCAAGGGTAACGAGCTTGAAGGGGGGAACCCTCGCAAACATCTGCAATACCAGAGGTTAGTGGTGATGTGAATGATTTCAAATAAGAAAAGTCTTCATATTCCTCAGTTTTCACTTGTCATAAGAGTGCAGGCAGCATACATGCCTCATCACCAAATGTTTGGTGCCCTTTTGACATTGGTGTAATCTTATCATCATCTAGCTTTCTTTATGTCTGACATGATTCCATGCTGGTAAATTTATCTGCAGATTAAATGGATGAAGCTACAAGCGACAGATCTTTTGGCTAAGAGTATCTTGGAGTAAGGAGGAGGATTTCTTTTCATCAGCAACACTTAGTGTTTCGGCTATGAGCTTAAATCATGTCTCAGTGAATTATCAGTACTTTGTCACTGTCTTCTGTTAATGACCGCTTAAACAATGCTGTATGTTTCTGTTCATAATGTGAACTGCGTATCTCTGGTTTTATCTGCCAATGCCAAGTTATCAGGGGTGGAAATGGATCTAATATGCATGGAATCGAATTAATTAGGATGTCCATCTTTTACCACATTTTATTCTGGAATTGAATTTGGATACGAATACCCTTTAGATGTGAATACAAAATGGATGACCCCAATTTGGATGTACGTTTAGATATTTACTCAATTCAACCTGAATGAATATCCTAAATTCAACCAGAGGACCAATATAATTCAAGTGAAAGTTCATAAACAGAAAAAAATTTGAGTACGCTCCCTATAATTTCTGCTGTTTGAAGTAAACTGAAATAATAAGGGATCATGGAGTGTCATTGAAGTGAAATAGTCAATTGACGATGACATGAACTAAAATCAAAGTACACTCCTAATCTCCAGTGGCAAATATCTAAAACCAGGGTTGTCTAAACCCACCATTAGATATTGTGATTATGAATTAACCGATTTTTTGATATTCAACGGTACAATGTAGACGCTCACAACGCACGCACACTCACCCCTAAAAACGCACGCACATAAATCCTACCCTATGAGCACCATCAACCCCTAAGAACGCACGCACATAAACCCTACCTTATGAGCACCATTAACCCCCTCGCGCCTCTTCCGCACAGCACCCCCGTGCCCTGGGAACATACGACAACAGGTTGGGTGGACTGGCCTTTTGTAATTAGCAAGACCGATCGAGCGATCGACGCTCAGACCAGAAGCGGATTGCTCGAACTGCTAAGGGATAGATCCGCCCAAGCAGACGACCCCTTGTACGAACAGGGACACCGCGACATGCTGCAGTGTTGATTCTACTATTTGCCTGATGATGTGTGGGCAGCAACAAATGAACAAATTCAGAATGATCAAAGAAACCATCACTGTTTTACAAACCACAGTAACCTCACAAGTGACAATTCTGTCTCACGTATCTATTACTGTTAGAGAAAGCTGTGCAAAAAGTTGCTTCATGTTGGTGTTGGAAGTGGCAAACACATGTTACATATTTGGTGTTGGTGATGATCAGGATCCCAATTTGTAAGCCTTGCTAATGCTTAGGTTGAAGAAAATTAAGTCTTGTCATTGCCGTGGTTTTTGGAGCTTCTGCAGGAAGGCCTTCGATCTTATATCCGCCTAAAGAATAAAAAGAAAGGCCTATCTTATTAGCAACTCAAGAAAAAATCATGCATATATCAAGGCCTGCTTCTTCAGAAGTGCAATCCTATTCCTACCTGCCTTGTAGGCTCAGGAACACGGTATTTACAACAGGACTTCACTATCACCGTGGCTGAATCAAGTGAAATGCGATGCCCAACTGAGATGTAGATTGGTTTTGATGAACCAGGGCAGGAGCGCAGCGCCTGGCACAAATGAACTATTCAGTTCCACGAGCTTAGCTAGGCAGAAAAGATATTAGGTCTGATGTGGAGTCTCTTACCATGCCCCATTTTGTCCCAGACTGTCCAGTCAACAAAATCAGTTCCTTGTTGCAGTTCTCTTTTGATTCAAGCAGTCTTCTGACTTCTGATTGGTTAAGGCCATCTACATGATGTAGCTATGCAGTTGAAACAATGAGATCAGTCTCCTCTGAAAGAAGGGCAACACTGAGAAATTGAATTTGGTGACAACTGCAATGCATTGAGAATAACTCAACAGCTGGATATCTACAGTTGTACTTGTGAGTTGAAACTGCAGTAAAGTAACCTACATTTTTTCCAACTCCAATAGTAGGAATGTCTGCAAGGATGCCGAGGTGACAAGCTAAACCAAAACCTGCTGAATGCAGAAGTTTGAGGGTGACCCAATGAACTATATTAAAAAAATAATGTCATGAAGAATATAAAGAACATATTACATTGATTTTACATTGATTAAGCTTTGTGGGTTATTTATATGCATATCAGACAAGATGAACCATATCACCAAGTCTTCTTGCTGAGGGTTCACACAGCTATGAGGGCATTCTTTTCTCAAAATAGCATAAAAATAGAAAATGCTCCATTTTCAATGGGTACTAAATACGAGTACTAATACTAATAGCTAACGCACAATTGAGAAAGATTGTCTATTTCACCAAATCTTTTCAATGAGGATTCACATATTAAGGCAGTTTGCTCTCAAAATAGGAAATGGGGTCACATAGAAGATGTGATTAGACTGAATAACATGAATAATCTTCCTAAAGTGAACTAACATTTCCTATAAAAAACGAACTAAGGTTCTTATGAAATCCAACAACATGTTGCACACATCATTAGATTATTTTAGGATCTATAAAATCTAAGTTTACATGTACGAAATGCCAACACTGTCAACTAAAGCATTAAAGTAGCTATACGCAACAAGCTAGCTACTTGAAACCACTACTGTGAAAATGAGACTGCCAATATCAGCAAACGGTTAATGTGTTTTACCTCGCGGATGGAGTAATCCATTTCCATCAACCATGAGTAACTGGAAGGGCAGAATGCAAACGTTAGAAAAGGCATGGGCAAATACAGTTATAAGATATATTAAATCAGAAGATGCTATAATATCCTATGGTGATTATGCAAGACATCTCATAAACTAAAATGATTCATAGTCATGAAATGTAATCACTTGAACAGTAGAATTCTTCAAATGCATAGCCTCGGTAGTCAGTAATTATATTTACATGATAATAAAGAAGTATATGCCTTGTTTCCTATGGCCCCTTATGCAACCTGAACATTTTAGAAAGTGTGGCATAACTTCCAATTGAAGTATACAGGAAATTTTCTTCCACTAAATTTCTTGTTGCAGAAACCGAAATAATTTTACCTGAGGGTAGAAATGAGGTGCATTGATCTTCACCTTTTCCAAGAGTCCAAGAAGAATTGGAGCCTGCAATGATAGATAGCCTTGTTTACTAGTTCAAAATACATGGTACATTTTAACAGTAACATGAAAGTACATATCATACATTTTTTATCAATGACCACAAAAGAAAGAAGTTTTGAAAGACATGCAACTATCTCAAGATCTAAGAAATTTGGATTGATCATACTAGAATCCCTTGGCTCTAGACTCTAGAGGCAAGAATAACGAACAGCTAGCAACAGGGCATGTCATACTTCTTGCAGCAGATAACAACTTATTGGTTGAAAGGTGCAAAAAAAAAAACAGAAAAATTTGGTTGAAAACAATTGCATGCCCAAAAATGCATAATACCTCTCTGAATGCAAGAAAACCAGGAATATATGGCACTTGCAGTTGAACAATATTGAACTCTTCATGGACAACTTCTAAAGTATTGGCATTAAGAACTACCACTGCGGCGCATGCTGTGGATGGGTCTTCCTTTGAGAAGCTAATGTCAGTCCCACCAATATACTTCAGTTTGCACCTTTCATGGTCATCTGAACCTGAGCCCACCGAAGGTAAACTCCAGGCAAATTCATCTTCAAGAATAAATTTACTCTTGAGCATGTCTTGTGTTCTGTATGGCCAAACCACCAGGAAGATATATGAGTCAACTCCTGGCAGACTGAAGAGATGATTACAAACAGGTGGTGCAAGGGGACGAAGGCATACTTGATCCATTCTTGTTTCTGCAGCACCAAGTCATAGTCATCTCCTTCTTGGTACCCTTGGGCATCATCCATTCCTATTGTACTCCTCACAAGACAGCTAATTCTTGCATGGTGGTTCTGAACCCTCCAGAGAAGATGACAAACCCTGACAAATCTAGCTGTCAACAAAATGTAGAATTGGGCGATTCAGCAATAGGTCCCATAAGGTTGCAGATTGATGTTCAAAATAATGAGTAGCTGATCAATTTTCACACCTAGGGCTACTATCAAAGTATGTGAACCACTAGCACCTTGTCAAATACCACCCACACTAGGTATAATACAGATAGATAACAAACCTAGCTCATAAATGCATGAGCTGCACTACTTCAGCAGTACTTTTCAGCGAATCAACAGTGTTTTCCTCTCACAGCATTTCAGCATAAGCCAAATTTCAGCGAAACGAACAGGGCCTTAGATGATATCTCAATTCCATGTTTAAATCCACAGCATACTTGATGAAAACATGAAAGTGGCAAAAAAAATACCTAACTAATGAAGGTTTGGTTTGCCCTCGCCTCTCATACTTCATCAAAAATAGCATTTTAATGTCTTGGCCCTCTTCATTCTGCAATTCTACAAAAATTAACAAAGACACAAAATTATTCATGGGAATTGGCAAAAGGCAAGTGACATGAGGATTTCTCGATTGGGGAATTTAATAAAGATTAGGATTTGGGAATTTACCTTCTGTTGCTGCCTCGCTGGAGGCTGAAGTTGGGTCTGGCTTGCTGCCGACTTGTCCTGGCCGCGTGCCAGCTGCCGGCCGGAGGCCGCGGCGACCACCCTGCTGATGTGTGCGCGTGCTGACCAGCAGCCAGTGGCCGGCGCCCCGGCTGCCCGCCTACAATCTGACGACCAGCA